ATTACCACATGGAATATTGAAGAATATAAATCACAATAAAGAGCAGAAATAAAGCACCTGCAGGAGTACACACAATTTTTTACGTGGAAACCCTTTAACGTGAAGGACAACAAACCGCGGGACCTCTTGAGGAGTCCACCCTTATTTCTCTTGTGGATAAATGAGTGTAAAAGAATCCCAAATCAGTCTACAAAGGATTCACAACCCACCAACAATCATCAAGAACAATAAGAGATCAAAATGGCACATTAAGGGGATGGTATCACCCAAAATTGTAGGTCTGTTCGAGCAGAGTTTTTGACCAAACCAGAGTTTTTGAAGCGCTTGAAGTCACAAAAAAGCAGTACAAATGTTAGCAAAATCCGACAACGGGAACAACAATAAGGGACAAATGCGGTAGAACTGTAAATGAATCAAATTGTGTTGAATATCCTTCTATTTGATATGAATTAGATTACAAAATTATTTTAACTTTTTCTTAACTTTTTGAATATATTTTATTATATTCCAATACTTGATTCAAGTATTCATACTTGAATAGGTCATCATCTATTTCTAGTATTGATATATATTATATAGAGTGCATAGTATATATAATGTTTAAATTGTAATTATAATTAGAAATTACGATAAAATAATAAAATACCGTCGAATCACATTTCTTTCTTGTTTTGCTACACATTTTATTTTAGAAATCTAGAGTAAGAAGCAAGGTTTTAAATAGCCGTAGTAGCAACGGTAACGGTCATCACGGTAGCGGCTAATGCGGCCGCTGGGATGCGTATAGCGATCGCAGTGGCATGAAATATTTTCAAGTGCGCACAAGATAGAAATATTATGATTTTTGTATTCTTTAACAAATCTTCATTAATTATATTGAACATAAATTCGTTTATTTGAATTAATGGATGATAAAGTTAATAGAAATATTATGAATACTTCTTAATGTTTCTTTAAAAAATAATGTTTTTTTAATAAATAATGTTTGTTTTTAAAAAATTATGAAATCTTCTTTGAACACTTATATGTGAACAATGAATCAATCAAGAAGAATATGACGATTAAAAGGGAATTATAATTAGAAAGATTGCTAAAGTAAATACTCGTAATTATTAAAAAATAAAAACACAATTAAAAATGTTGTAACATACCCCATACCCCATTCTGCATTGCATTGCAACATTTACACCATTTAAAACACACCACTTTTAACTCAGCATTTAGAAGAGTTCACTGCATGCACACACCATTCGTGTAGTTCACAGCATGTACGCATTAGCCATGCACGCATCAGCTCGACATGTTTCTTGGAAGGCCAAAAAGCAACGTGCAATTGGTGATGCGGTGTCGTTGGTGCCGGTTGCGGCCTGTTGCGGCCGGTAGTAGCGTGAAGCTTGCGGCGTAGCGGTTACATAGCGGATTTCGACGTGATTCCCATTCACATACACTGCAAATATAGATTGTAGATTATTAATCCACAATCTAATTTGCAAATTAGTATGTGAATTAGTATGTGAATAGTAATAGTAATAGTAATAGTAATAGTAATAGTAATAGTAATACATAGCGGATTTCGACGTGATTCCCATTCACATACACTGCAAATTAGTATGTGAATAGTAATAGTAATAGTAATAGTAATAGTAATAGTAATAGTAAAAGTCATTGCAAATTTCGACGTGATTCCCATTCACATACATTACTATTACTATTACTATTACTATTACTATTCACATACTAATTTGCAATGACTTTTACTATTACTATTACTATTACTATTCACATACTAATTTGCAATGATTTTTACTATTACTATTACTATTACTATTACTATTACTATTACTATTACTATTATTATTACTATTACTATTACTATTACTATTACTATTACTATTACTATTACTATTACTGTTACTATTACTGTTACTGTTACTGTTACTGTTACTGTTACTGTTACTGTTACTGTTACTGTTACTGTCACTATTACCGATTACTATCACTATTACCGATTACTATCACTTTTTTATTAAAAAAAATACTAGTACTGTTATTATTATAATTATTAGTATTATTATTATTGGTATTATTATTCTAATATATTGAATAACTTTTCTAACCAACTCTAGAACGCAGAAAAAAAAATCTGGAAAGTAGGGTTTCTACACAGACCACCACATTTTAGAACTACGATTGAGAGCATGTGTGTAACCCTCTTTTCATCAATAAAATATGATAAAAGTTCCCCGACATTTACCACACCTAAAAAAAAAGTCTAATCAAATACTACATCTGTCCCTCTAAGATTGAGACAAAGGAGAGTGATGCGCGTTTTAAGAAAAGTAGAAGTATGTGGTTGATAATAATTGATAAAGTGGAAATAAATAAAGTAAAAATGAATTAGAGTCACACAAATATTACCAAATAGGGTATGAAACAAATTTAATGGGACAAACGGAAAAGAAAAATAGAACAATTATAGTGGGACGTAGAGAGTATATGAATATTCATATTTGTATTTGGTGAATGTGCGAATCGAAATTATTATTCGTATTTTGTATTCTTAATTCAGTTTATCGAATCCAAATAGCTATATATACGCATTCAAATCACAAATCGAGCGCAAGATATTTGATTCGTTTACAACCCTATTTGCAGGGAGAGTATAATGTAAGATTAAATTCCAATACCGACATCATATAAGTATATGAATATACAATATGCATAGAGTTATTTTCCTAAATAGGACTAAAAATGAAGAAATGCTTAAATAGGATTTCCATGTTTCATAGGGCTACAAATATACTCATTTGACAGAACTACTCGTAATGAATTTATAAATCAATTTACAATAAGAAATAAAAAACTTTCTAAAACCATAGTTTCTGTTTCCACTTAATTTCCGTCGTCTCCGTGTCAGCTCCGCTTGCCGCCGTGACTTGAGCCGCCGTCGCTGCCCCAGACGCGACTGCCACCCATGATCATGTGGCTACAATATGGCAACGGACCACTGGACCAACCTGCAGTTACCTTCTTACAATTTCCCCTTTATATGTATTTACTACATATAGACTCTATGTTACTTTAACTTGTGTCTTACTTGTTTATATATATATATATAGAGAAATCATCTCATCAGGCCGGCCTGACGGGCTGCCCCGTCCGGCCGAGCCCGTTTGGGCACCTTCCCGGTGGAATTTTTTGATGCAATTTTTTGAGCATGTTCCTCATCAAGTCTAGTTTGTCCATACCAAATTTCAGCTCACAATTCGATCGGGAAGGTCGTCAAATGATTTTTGCAAGTTAACTGGTCCAGAATATGTATTTTCCGGACCAGTTAACTTGAAAAAATCATTTGACGACCTTCCCGATCGAATTTTGAGCTGAAATTTGGTATGGACAAACTAGACTTGATGAGGAACATGCTCAAAAAATTTGATCAAAAAATTCCACCGGGAAGGTGCCCAAACGGGCTCGGCCGGACGGGGCAGCCCGTCAGGCCGGCCTGATGAGAAGAGCTCTCATTATATATATATATATATATATATATATATATATATATATATATATATATATATATTACTTTTTCTTGAACTAGTTACCTAATATAAAATAATAATAATAAATGATAAAAGCAATAAAAAAGATAATGAAAATAAATTTTGATCTAAAAACATAATAAAAAATTATACTAAGTAATAAAAAAGTAATTTCAGATATGCAATTAAAAATAAGTCAAATCTACATAAATTATAAAATAAACAAATTTCATGTTAGGCCCTAATGCAACCAAATAATAGTAACTCACTTCCTCCGTTCCTTTTTAATTGAAACGATCAATATTTCACATTTGCCAACGCATGTCTTTTGACCGTAATTATATATTAATCTCTATTAGTAAAACAAATAAAAAACGGATTTTGAAAGTTTGTAATGAGATGAATTGAACAATATCTTTTAAAAAATAATTTTCATAAAATATTAACGTAAAATGTAGTCAAAGTAGAGCATGTGAATAGTGTAAAATTCAACATCTTGCGATTAAAAAGAAACGGAGGATAGTATATTATTAATCTATAAAAAAAATTGTACCGGCTCAACACAGGAACCTACACACATATACATACAAACACACTATTTTTATTTATTGATTTACTTATTTTTTTATCTATTTATTTATTTATGTATTTGTTATGTGATTATTTATTTATCTATTTATTTATTTATTTATTTATTTATTTATTTATTTATTTATTTATTTATTTATCTATTTATTTATTTATTTATTTATTTATTTATTTATTTATTTACTTTTTAAGGTAGTGCACTCATTTACTTAAACATTTTAAGTAATAAATCAATAGAAAGTAGAACATTTAACAACCAAAATTGCAGGTCAGGTGTTCCATTACTAGCATCCAACTTTTTTGGATCCATGAGGCAACATATAGCTAAATCCTTGACTTTATCTATTGCTATGCGTAGACTTACTCTCTTTATTCATGGGATCAATACATTTACCATAGTTTCTACTCTCCATGGATTCCTCAAATGAGAGTAAATTCTGACCAATGCTCATATCACACTCATTTTCAACATAAGTCATTGTAACACCCCGACCCAATACTTGACTCAAACATATATGCACTAGACTTTATCACACATAACTTGGAGTTTTTAGCAGATGGATTCGATCCTTTAAAGAAAGTGAACCTTGTTGAAGTGGTCTTAAACTAATCTTGGGTATGAAGATGTCTCAAACTAGGTTTCCTACCAGCCCAAAGTTTTTCAAAATTAGCGTCGCTATATGATGCTTTTTGTAGTATAGGAGTTTAAATGATAAATTTGAAATAGTGAAAGTGTAGTGTAATTGAATTGTTTTCCTAAACTTTAAATGATAATTCAAAATATATACGTAGTATGTTTTATTTCTATATATAATAGGAGATCTATTGTGCTATCAATAATTTTGTTTTTCAATCGAATGTGTCATATTTTACCTACTTATTTGCTTAATATATTAAAAGAAAAGGGAAAGATGGGCAGGCATGCATAAATGGCCGGGTAATTAAATTAAAGATGGCTAGAGATTACAGGTGAGAAAATGAAAAAGAAAAAACAGGCCGGAAATGGGACAAAGCGAACAAAGAAAAGGAAAAAAAGAATAAAGGAAGCGGGCATAGTTGATTGGTGAGAGTGGGCGGCCGGCAAAAAGCTTCAATGTTATTATTGCAGTTGTACGTCTGGATCGTCTTCCTGCATGCATTCTCTCTTAGCTAAGGGAGAAGCATGCAGCGATGATCAGCTAGAAAGCAGAATACTTGGCGGCGGAGTCCCGGGGGGCATTGCATCGGAAACATTGGAGGCGATTGGCGAAGTTGTGCTCGTTGCAACCGGGCCTTGTGCAGATCCAGTCACCGGACTTCCAGGATGCGCGGTTGCCACCACCTCGGCCGCCGGCATCCGGCTGCAGCTTAGAGGCGCCGCACTTGAAGCAGCTCGAACGGCTCGCAAAGTTATGCGCGCCGCATTGGGGGAGGGTGCAATACCAGTCCCCCGGCCGCACATCCGGCCCCACCACAAGCCCCCCGCCGCCGCCGCCGCCGCCGCTTCTTAGCTCCCCGCACCTTTGGCACGACTCCCGCCTCTGGAAATTCAGGTGCTGGCATGACCCGCAATTCCAGTCTCCTGCTCTGTTCATGGCCGCACCACCTAAGCTACTTCTTTTAATTAATTTCTATGTAAGCTAACAAAGAATTTAATTAATTCAACAAGCACCTAAGCAAGTACATAGATCACTTAATTAGCTAGCTTCAGATTTCAGAATGTATGTATATATATGGCTGCAGGGTAGCTTATATATATACACATAGACTCCAGACAGCCAATCAGCCAGCCCGTAGCTAGCATGCCACTTCCTAGGGAATCGAGTGTATAATAATTAATTAGATAAATTAAAATCAAAGCAGGTAGCTAGCTCGCAGAGCAAATCATCAGCTGTCCTCGATCTCAATCTAGTCTCTAAAAAAGGAGATATGTACGTTGGTGCTGTTGGGTGTGTTTCGGAAAATAAAGAAAATTAATTAAAATAAATTAATTAAATAAAATGACTAGAGAAAAACAAGAAAGGAGATGAAGCATAATTAGTCAAAGCTCGTGCTACGCACGATGTCCTTAAAACGTATTTGTTGCCTCCCACGGTGCTAGGAGCGTTGCAACAATCGTTTCCCAGGATACGATGACTACGAACTAATGTTTGAGCACACAAACAAAAGTTCCAGCGAACGAGAACACAATATGAACACAGAGGAATTTTTCAGAATGCTAGCAGTGTGTTTTTAGAGCTAAAACGTGTATGGATTCGTGTAAGAACGTGTGTTGTTGCAAACCACCTGCCAGCCTTTATATAGGAGGATTTGTTGTGTGAAAATAGTGAATTAATGGACCTGAACGTTGGACATCAATGACCAGTCCGTTGGGCATTGAATCGTCCATGAACTGTCTATTTAACGCTGCATTAAAAGATATAAACGTTGGAAGCCAACTATATATTATTTATAGTTGGAAGGTTTATTTATGGAAGGCTGCCCAACGGACTACTCCAAGACAACTATATATGCTGAAGATCAATAGAAGAATTGTGTGCTGAACCGAGAAAAATACTTAGAAGAATCATTCAAGAAAAGGATCAAGTCCTTGGCGCCTGAAACTGCCCGCTCGGAGTTCTAGATAGAGTTTTCTTTTCCCTTTCATATTGTACTTGGAATATTGAGGCTTAATTGGCTAGAGTAGCTGCCTCGGGTTAAGTGTGTGTGAGAGCTTTGTGATAAAGCTGAGAGGCTCTCTACCCGCAAGGTAGAGATGCATAACTCTTCCTAGAGAGGATAGAGTTGGGGAGGCTCAAGGGTAGATTAGGAGAATCACTCTTGTAACTCTTTCAAAGGCTTGTTTAGTGATGTTGTTTAAAATTCCTCCGAGGGAGGTCGAGGTTTTTTAATCCCTTTGAGCCAAAGGATTTTTCCTCGTTAAATTCTTGTGCACTTTACTATTTCGCAATTCCCTTTATCCCACACTAGAACTCGGAGAAAAACTGCCACGGTTCCGCACACACACAATTCACCCCCCCTCTTGTGTTGCTAACCGTTTTCATCAATTGGTATCAGAGCTGGTCTTCACCACATAGAGGCTAATACCTTTGGAAGAGATCCGGCAAAATGAATACGGTTGACAGATTGGAAGAAGGGTACTCGACTCAACGACCACCATTGTTGAATGGCAAATACTATCAATTTTGGAAGAGTCGGATGGAAAACTTTATCAAGGCCGATAACTATCAGGTTTGGAATGTAATTGAAAGTGGTGATAATGCCATCACAAAGAGAAACGCCGAAGGTAATATTGTTCCTAAACCTAAAGTTGAATATACTTCTGAAGATTATGAGAAACTCGAGCATAATGCCCAAGCCCTTAAATATTTAATTTGTGGTCTTGGTCCTGTCGAACACAATCGGGTTCTAGGATGCAAGACTGCAAAACAAATGTGGGATTTGCTCGAGGTCACTCATGAGGGAACCTCACGTGTAAAAAAATCTAAGATTGACATATTCATGCGTAATTACGAATTATTCGTAATGAAGCCAAAAGAGTCAATTAAGGATATGATTACACGCTTTACTAACATTATCAATGAGCTTTCAGCCCTTGGAAGAGAAATTACAGTGGAAGATCAAGTGAGAAAGATTTTGAGAAGCCTGCCCCAAGTGTGGAAACCTAAGACCACGGCTATTGAAGAAGCAAAAGATCTATCCACCATGACGCTTGAAGACTTGACTGGATCACTCTTGACATATGAACTGGGTCTTCAAGAAGAACAAGATGCCGAGAATGCTAGACGAGAAAGAGGAATAGCTCTAAAGGCTCGAGAAGAAGAAGAAGAATCCGAAAGTGAATCGGATGATGAGATGAGCATGTTTGCGAAACAATTTGGGAGGATGTACCGAAAATTCAAGAACAACCGTACCAAACAAGGTAAAAGGAATACTCAATCCTTTAATAACCAAGGTTATTTTGTTTGTGGTTCCTTTGAGCACAGGGCTAAAGACTGTTCACAAAAGAAAAACGACCGGAACTGCGACAAGAACAAGTCCAGTTCCAACCGGAGGTTCAGCGAAGACAAAGGGTTCAAGAGAGATCTCAAAAAGGCCATGATGGCAGCATGGGGAGATTCTTCTGATGATGAAGAAGAGGAAAATGATAAGAACACCAACCATGCGGGTCTATGTCTTATGGCTCATTCTGACGAGGAATCCGACCAAGAGAGCTTTGAGGTAAACTTTGAAAATTTTCTATCTAAGTTTGACTCTCTATCCAAAACCAAAGCTCGGAAAATTTTCAAAAGATTGACTATTGAGCTTAATCAAAACCTTTCTGAAAATGATCATCTTAAATCACAAATCACTGAGCTTGAGTCTAAACTCGAGGAAGCCACGAGAGCCAAGATAAGGCTTGAAACAAAAGTGGGAGAGTTAATAGATGAAAGGCTTAAGTATAGTGAAGTGGTTTTAGAACAAGATCAAATCATTTGCTCTCTTAAGCTCGATAGTATGAACAAACAAGTTAATCATGATGAAAAACTTCTTTCAAAAATTCCGAGCGTTGGTACTTTAATTGATCATCTTCATCGTCTTGTTGCCGAGTGCACTGATTTTAAAAATAGACCGGAATATCAATCCTATAGTGCAACGAACAAAACCAGGTCTAGACATCATTCTGGAACTGGTCCTTCTCAGCACAGTAAGAAAGTAAACGAGACTGCAGGTCTCGGATATATTCCAAGGGATATTCGATCTAATCACAAATCAAATTTGCAGAACCAACCCTTTAAGGGCAATAGAACCCGGGGACAACCCAGTTCTAGACCATATCAACAACCACCTAGAACTGGACCAAACTGGTTCGATAGACTGGTTCAGAGGCACAAAAACGGTTATGGACAAACGCCTAACCGAACTTTTCATAAAAGAACAAGAGGCTTTTATGGTAAATGGAAACCTAAATACGTTAATACTTATGACAACCGAGTTTGCATGCATTGTGGCAAAATCGGTCATCTACGGTATCAATGTCACTCTCGGCAAAAGACTTTAGAAAGATGTTATGATCATGTTAGATATTCCTCAAACAAATACAAAATGGAACCCAAGCAAGTCTGGGTTCCACGCGCTAACCCTTGATCCTGGAACAGCGCCGAGTGAGGGGGAACAATCACTGGTTCCTTGACAGTGGTTGTTCTAAGCACATGACGGGAGACAAATCTTTATTCCTCTCACTACGGCCATTTAACGGTGGGAAGGTGACATTTGGAGACAACGGCAAAGGAGAGATTATAGCCGTGGGCAAAGTTGGAAAATCACCTAACCATGCAATTGACAATGTCTTTTTAGTCAAGGGTTTGAGATTTAATTTACTAAGTATTTCTCAATTTTGCGATCGAGGTAATAGTGTTGTTTTTTACCATAACGTTTGTCGCATTGTTAACAACGAATCACAGCAAGTTATACTTGAAGGCAAGAGGCTCGAAAATACATATAAAGTAGATCTTGATTCTTTGCCTAATATTAGTATGACTTGTTTGAGCGTTGTTGATAACGATCCTTTGCTATGGCATAAAAGGCTTGGACACGCTAGTTTTTCACTAATAAATAAACTTAAAAATAATGATTTAGTTATTGGACTGCCCAATATGAAATTTTCACTTGACCATGTTTGCTCGGCTTGTGCCACCGGAAAACAATTTCGATCATCCTTTAAAACGAAGAATTTGGTGAGCACAAGCAAGCCCATAGAACTGATTCACATGGATTTGTGTGGTCCAATGTCAGTCCGTAGCCGAGGAAATAAAGAATATGTTCTAGTTATTGTTGATGACTTTTCAAGATTTACATGGACTATCTTTCTTGCTAGCAAGAAAGATACTTTTAATGAGTTTTCTATTTTTGTAAGGAAAATTGAGCATCAAACAGGTCTACAACTAATCAAGATCCGATCGGATCATGGAACTGAGTTTGACAACTCACTCTTCGATGCATTCTGCAAAGAACGAGGGATAGACCACAACTTTTCTGCCCCTAGAACTCCACAACAGAACGGAGTGGTAGAACGGAAGAATAGAACTCTGGAGGACATGACTAGAACAATGCTTATTTCCAGCGGTCTAGCTAGGAGTTTTTGGGCCGAGGCTCTAAACACAGCATGTTACATCATTAATCGAGCCATGATCCGCCCACTCCTAGGGAAAACACCCTACGAACTGCTCAATGGGAGGAAGCCCAACATAAGTCATCTAAGAACTTTTGGGTGCAAATGTTTCGTCCACAACAATGGGAAAGACAACATCGGCAAATTTGATGCTAGAAGTGACGAGGCAATATTTCTCGGATATTCCCCACATAGCAAGGCCTACAAAGTTCTAAACAAACGCACACAATGTGTGGAGGAAAGCATTCATGTAATCTTTGATGAAGCACTTGCCCCAAAATCAATCCAAGCCGATGATGGTGAGCTAGGGATCACTCGCAAGAAATCACAATCTCAAGGAGATGAAGGAACTGACAATCAAACTGGTGAACCACCTCTAACAAATGAAAATGAACAATCTGGAACGGAAGAAGAACCTGGACAGAACACTGACATTGGACCTGTAGAACTGGTAGAACCAGTTTCAGATACTCTCAACAACTTGGTGGACCAACCCAACGCTCCTAGGGGTTGGAAGCTTCATAGATCACATCCGCTGGATAATCTCCTAACCGATTTGAATCAGGGAGTAACAACTAGATCTAAACTTAAAAACTTTTGTGCTTTCTCTACTTATTTATCTCTTATAGAACCGGAGAAC